GAGGTCGCGACCCCGCAGCTGCTGTGAACCCAGAGGGACCCACAGGAGGCTCCGGAACCTGACTCCTCTCCTGAGACATGGACCCGCTTCTGCTCCTGGAACAGACTGAAGTCACAGGACGCTGCCCAGGACTTGGCCGATTTACTGGGCAGCCCGTGTGCCCCCAGGCCAGAGATGCCCCGCTCAGTGCCTCTGGATCCAGTTCACTATCCCTGGGGTGAGGGCCACATGTGCTGGGCAGAGTGGGTAGTGGGGGATACAGAGTTGTATCAGACCAGCAGGACGTCTGGACAGGACAGGGTGGTCAGTGGCTATCAGAGAGGGGCCCAAGGAGCAGTGTTCTGGAAATATCCTTCTCCATTTCCCTCACAGTAAAGTTCTTTAAAAGCCTATGTGACAAGGACCCCCTGCCCCACCAGCTCTCTGACTTGTCTTCAGCTCCTGTCTCCCCACCTCACTAAATCCACCCACATCAGCCAACTTGCTGGCCTTTAAATGTTCCATGAATATTCTTCCTTCCTGGATTAAGTGTTTACTATTCTGGAGAAATAAAGGGAGCCACTATCTTTATTTTCAAGGTTGTTTGTAAAAGCAAGGCTGTTTGAAAAGGTATGTGAAGTAAAGATGATTTGGTGTCTCTGCCTAAAAGATGTACAGAGGAAACGGGAGAGATAGTGCAGAATTATCTCAACAGACACTTACCCATTTTTACAGCTAAATTCTCCTGATATCATTCACAGTCTCATTCTCCATAAGACTCAAGACATTTCTCATTTCACTTATTGACATTTATTGATATAACAATTTCTTACTAAAGAATGCTCAATAAAGTTTTCCTGAATGACCAATGAATAAACTCAAAATATGTAAGTATTCATCAATATGCTGAGCATGGGCAGACAAACAAGAAATTACATAAATGGGTAAGATGTGCTGCTTACTTTACAGGAAGAGAAATATAATACTGGATTTTTTAACTCATATTTTTAGCTCACCAGAATACTTAGGCTATGTTTCAAGAGAAGTATACAACCTGTAGATTGAAGTTTATTTATCTTTATAAGTAAACAAATGCACATATTTGTCTAAGAAAATCACAAGGTAAATCCATCAAAGGTAACTGTTAACCAATGGGTAAACACAGCTGATCATCATTGCCCATCCTGTCCCTTCTCTATCTAAATATTCTGTCATACATATGTATTATTTCAATCATCAGGAAGAAAGAGTAATCCTACTTTGAAGTCTATGCTGTTTCATAAACTGTTTATTTTTAAAAGGAAAGGCATGGTTTCAGAAGTTCAGACACTTGATTTAAACTTCTCCTTCAGGCACAAAAATTTTCTTCACCACTCTAGAAGTAACAAGTTATGGAAAAACCACAGTGAGAGCTGAGAGTCAATATTCTTCAGAGAATGGATACTCAGGGTGACTGACACCACTGGAAGACAAAGAGGTGGATTCATTTATGAAATCTGACATCATTATAACATACTTTTAATTAATATATTTCCCTGACATAAATATAATTAACAATTAAACATGGTCACTGGTCACTGAAAGAATAGTCAGCTGCAGGCATTGTGCCCTTTGTGTTTCCTGGCTCCCTGGGCTCTGAGAGGAGGTACACCAGGCACAAGGTTTAAGTAAACAAACTAGTGAATTCATTCACCTCAATGTCAACTGTGGGAGTTTTACTGATGGGCTATCCTGGGCCCCAATCACATTTCTGTTGATCAAGAATGGAACCCTGGAGGAAATCTCTGGTTTGAGGCCTGCAGGAAGTACCTGGCTGACTCCTACACTAGAAAGCAAGACTGTCTTCCAAGAATTAAGCTTTTAAAAATCTTAGTTTCCCTGCTCACCTGCTTGTGACCAAAAAAAAAAAAAAAAAAAAACCTGTGTATGTGAAACAGTCACTTACATTAGAAATTCATAGTATCTTATATTTCTGTTGAGGCCATCAATTGCTTTCATGTCATCTGGACTCAATTCAAAGTCAAACACCTGGAAGGAAGGAACAGTCACGTTAATCTCTCCCAGAAGGAGCTGGCCTCCCCCTGGGGACTGGAGGACTTTCCAGCTGGATGGAGACAAGAAGAGGGGGCAGGAAAGCCATGTCTGTCCTCAGCTTGCAGGAGAACAACCTGGGCCCCTCTGCTGAGTTCTCACCTCTCCTTCCCACATCTTCTCCTTCTCTGTCCACCTCACAAACATTACAGCGCATCAGTCCCTTATCTTTCTGAGTGAATCACTTGTGACAGAAAACAAGTGAAAACCTGCTTTTTCCAAACACACTGCTTTAGACACTCCTGATTTGATACTGAACCTGAGCTAACATTAGACTGTTTGCCTCTCCCCAACACACCCTAAAGGTGACAGCATCCAGCTGAAGCAGTGTGGGAAGGAAATGCCCCCTTGCAATCCTGTTCAGGAATATGTTATGAAACTTGCTCATTATCTATGAGTAAATCTAAGGAAACCTATACATCAATGCCTTAGTGGAGGAGATCCCAGTGTTGGGAAAATGTCCTGGAGAAGGAAATGGCAACCCACTCCATCATTCTTCCCTGGAGAATCGCATGGACAGAGGAGCCTGGCGGGCTACAGTCCATGGGGTTGCAAAGAGTCAGACACAATTAAAGCAGCTAACGCTTTAGTGTAACAGTTATGAATGAAAAGTGTTTAAAACATTAAAGAACAACAAATTATTAAAAATTTACATCACAGTCAAGGAAAAAAAAAGCTCAACTTTCTAAAGAAATACATTTTCCAGAGTGATTAAGTGTGACATGAACATGACTTAAGCACATATTCCTTTGTGGAAATCAGTAAAGTAATACTAAATTTTAAGTAAAAGAACAGCTAGTCAAGAGCAGTCAAGACATCCTTAAAAACAAATGTACAATTCTGAGAAAGAACATTTATTTTCCATTTTAAAAACACAGAACAGAAAACTGAATAGTTAAATAGAAGAGAAGGGCCACAAATGTACTTATGGACACTTGTTATATGACAGAGTTGATAATGAAAATCTATTAAATATATTTCAACAAACATATAGGCAATCGTTTTTATATCACATTAGAAAATCAGTTTCAGGTGTATTTTTGAATCAAATTTGAATGGAAACAGAAAAACAATTTTTCAAGGTCCCATGCACCTGACCCTTGACATGGGCTGACCTGTAACTTGCAGTGAGACTGAAATTTGCAAGCTGTGGTGACTTAGTTCTGAGCTGAGATAATGACATGGATTTTTTCCCACTCCCTGGCTTGAAATCACAGCGCTGTCCTGAGATGAAAATCAAGTTAGTTGACCACAGTCTAGCCAAATATATATGAAAAACTGCATGGAAAAGTGTGTAGGCTCCTCTGAGAAGAGTCATATCTGCCTGCTACAGCAGAACTGCCAAAATGCTCTGCACTGAACTGCAAATGCATAAGGGAGCCCAGCCAAGAGGACAACAGTTGAGCTGAGAGCAGGCGGAAACTCAAACCACAAAATCAAGAGACACATAACTGATCTCTGCATTAAATCTTAAAACTGGGGAGAGTTTTCTATACACCTATGCCTAAGGGTAGAGTAATGGTCTCTTACACAGAAAACAAATGAAAGACATCATGCAAAAGTAGACAAAGTCTTGAAGAGGAACTTCACAAAGACAGAAACTCAAGAAGCTTAAATATATGAAGATGAAACCTTATTAGTGTTCAGGAAAATGCAAAACAAAACCATGATGGTTTGGAGATGAAAGATTGCTGCCATAATTTTCATGCCCCAAAATTCATATATGGATGGTGTTAGAAACGAGCCATTCAGGGGTGATTAGGTCGTGATGATGGAGCCTTAGTGAATGAGATTTCAACAATATCACAGTCATGTAAGAAACTTGGGAGAACTCTGTTGCCCCTCAACCATGTTAAGATACAAAGAGAACCTTATGACCTAGAGGAGGGGCCATTACATGACCATACAGGCACCCTGACCTCAGACCTCCAGTTTCAGAAATGTGAGAAACAAATTTTCATTGTTTCTAAGACACCAAATCTGTGGCATTTTGTTAAAAAAAGAAAAGTCCAAAAGGCTTAAAATAATCACATAATGCAATTTCATCCATTGAGAACGAAGGTAAGAAGACATCATTTGTACAAGGTGATAGGATAAATTGAAGACCTAGCACTAGAACTAAAATCTCCTTTTTCTGTCCAAATGTATTTTCTTGGGTTCCAAAATCACTATAGATTGTGACTGTAGCCATGAAATTAAAAGACCCTTGCTCCTTCTAAGAAAAGCTATGACAAACCTAGACAGCATATTAAAAAACAGAGACATTACTTTACCGACAAAAGTCCATAGTCAAAGCTGTGCTTTTCCCAGTAGCCATGTATGGATGTGAGAGGTACACCGTAAAGAAAGCTGAGCACCAAAGAAATGATGCTTTTGAACTGTGGAATTGAAGAAGACTCTTGAGAGTCCCTTGGACTGCAAGGGGATCAAACCATCAATTTTAAAGGAAACCAGTCCTGAATATTCATTGGAAGGACTGATGCTGAAGGTGAAGCTCCAATACTTTGGCAACCTGATGCAAAGAACTGACTCATTGGAAAATACCCTGATGCTGCAAAAGATAGAAGGCAGGAGGAATAGGGTAAGATAGAGGATGAGATGATTGGATGGCATCACCAGCTTGATGGACATGACTTTGAGCAAGCTCAAGGAGTTGGTGATGGACAGGGAAGCCTGGTGTGCTGCAGTCCATGGGGTCGAAAAGAGTCAGACAAGACTGAATGACTGAACAGAACTGAACCCTCTCCAGCCAAGTCACCTCTCCTGTTGCCTCAGTAGAAGGAGAAAACCATCAGGAATATACATAAGGCATTCATGCACAGGGAAGAACAGGTAATTCATCTTGTCTCAAGGAAAGTCTTGAGAGACAAAGGATGACCCTCATGGAGGATATTCCTTAGGACCCCTCTGCCAACAGCCCCACTCATCACCTTTATGTTTTCTTTGATCCGCTTCTTGTTGTAACTCTTGGCTAGAACCACAACCCCACGTTGTATCTGGTAGCGAAGGACAACCAGTGCGGGAGTTTGCTTGTGCTTTTTGGCAATGGCACAGAGAACTGGGTCCTCCAAGAGAACGGGGTGGTTCAGATTCACCCTGGAAGAAAATTCAGAAATGCTGAGATGCTGAGACTAAGTACTCACTTAGTGAGTAGTTTTTCCAAACAGATCAAGTAGGTATGCTTCTCAAAGTGTGGTCCATGGACCAGCATGATCAACATCACCTGGGATTTTGTTAGAAATACAAATTTCATGGCTTAGCTGAAGAGAAACTGAATCAGCATCTCAACTGGATCACCTCCCATTCTGTGTTTACAAAGCTCTGCTGGTGGTTCAGATGCATTATTGACCTGAGACCAGGATTGCTAAAGTTGTGGGGTTTTTCTTTAATTCTTAGAGGTTGTTTTTCTTCTATAATCAAGGGCATGAACAGAGAAATAGAAGGGAAAGACCAGGGATTTTTTTTAATTTCACTTTCCTAAGGTATTGACACAAAGTAAGTAGTCTCAAAATCAGAGACATTTATTCCCTTGTTACTCTTCTTTAGATATTTACAAAAATGGTTAAAGTTTAGTTTTTTCTATCATAATAGACCTGAGAATTGTATATTATTATCCCAATTTTAGGCATAAGGTAAATGAGACTTGGAATTTCTATTTTTAGAAATATGTTATTAGTTAATAACTATATAAATCATGATATAAGCTTGTGTCTCTGGTTCCAACTAGGAGATTATATATACATTTTAATGAAAACATTTGTTAATGATGAGTCTACAAGCTAATACAATGCATGAAAAACAGCTGGGTGATGGGAAGTTAAAAGAGAAGAAAATATTCCATCCATCCCCTCTCTCCCCTCTGCTTATGAGAATTATCTGAGTACTGTATTTTAAAATATCTCATCAAAAATTGAATTTTAGGGAAACTCCCACTTGTCTTCAATAGGATTCAATACCATCCTTTTATTCGTTGGGATCCCAGAGAACCGTAGGCAACAAGAACAATATCATGTGACTTGCAGAAATCCAACAGTTTGCTCTGAATGAGATAAGGGTGACATTCCACCTGTAGAATGTTAACAGAGAAGAGTGTCAGATTATTTGAAAAGGTAATATTAATATGACAGAGAAAGATAAAAAGTTTTAAGCCTACAGGAAAGATAAACTGTGGAAAATTTTGAAAGAGAAGGGAATACCAGACCACCTGACCTGCCTCTTGAGAAACCTGTATGCAGATCAGGAAGCAACAGTTAGAATTGGACATGGAACAACAGACTGGTTCCAAATAGGAAAAGGAGAACATCAAGGCTGTATATTGTCACCCTGCTTATTTAACTTATATGCAGAGTACATCATGAGAAATGCTGGGCTGGAGGAAGCACAAGCTGGAATAAAGTTTGCTGGAAGAAATATCAATAACCTCAGATATGCAGATGGCACCACCCTTATGGCAGAAAGTGAGGAAGAACTTAAGAGCCTCTTGATGAAAGTGAAAGAAGGAGAGTTTAAAAGTTTGCTTAAAACTCAACATTCAGAAAACTAAGGTCATCTGGTCCCATCACTTCATGGCAAATAGATGGGGAAACAGTGGAAACAGTGGCTGACTTTATCTTGGGGGACTCCAAAACAACTGCAGATGGTGGTTGCAGCCATAAAATTAAAAGATGCTTAGTCCTTGGAAGGAAAGTTATGACCAACCTCGACAGCATATTAAAAAGCGGAGACATTACTTTTTCAACAGAGGTTGTCTAGTCAAGGCTATGGTTTTTCCAGTGGTCATGTATGGATGTGAGAGTTGGACTATAAAGAAAGCTGAGGGCTGAAGAATTGATGCTTTTGAACTGTGGTGTTGGAGAAGACTCTTGAGAGTCCCTTGAACTGCAAAGAGATCCAACCAGTCCATCCTAAAGGAGATCAGTCCTGGGTGTTCATTGGTAGGACTGACTTTGAAGTCGAAACTCCAATACTTTGGCCACCCAAAGTCAGCGAAGAGCTGACTCATTTGAAAAAACCCTGTTGCTGGGAAAGATTGAGGGCAGGAGGAGAAAGGGATGACAGAGGATGAGATGATTGGATGGCATCACCGACTCAATGGTCATGGGTTTGGGTGGACTCCAGGAGTTGGTGGTGGACAGGGAGGCTTGGTGTGCTGCTGTTCATGGGGTCACAAAGAGTTGAACATGACTGAGCAACTGAACTGAACTGAAAGGAAAGATTGCAATATTAAATGTAAACTGGAAATATCAACATCTAAAGAGAAATAGAGAAAAGTGTGTTTATACAGTTAATTTTATGACAGACCATGGATGGGAGAACCAGTCCAAGACTGAGTAATCAAAAGGTGTACTCTATATTTGGGTAGATATTCCCGGGTAAAGGTTTTATCTTCTGTTAGCATCTTCACGAGCCTTTAACTTCACCCTGTAACCTGGATGACTTTCATCATCACCAGCACATTTTTCTGTTCTGTGCTCCCTGTTGAGACTCATAAATGCTGAGACAACAAGACTAAGGATTCAGCCATCAGAACCCCACACAAACCCTTATCACCCATCTCAGCTGATTTGTTAATTTACTAATTTACTTTTCATTCTATGTTTTCATGGCTTCCTTCCTATATACAGTTCATTTCAGGGCACTTTCCCATCCAATCTTGTCATCCTTTAATCTCAGGGAAACACCTCCTACCTCTAGTTCTAGGTTCTACCTACAATTCATCAGGATGCCCTCCCCCACCTTTTCCATCCAGACTACATAGAGATACTATTTTGGGTTCTATTCACACCATCCAGATAGAGATTCTGTTCTCTAGAGTCCTCTGTCCACAAAGGTCGGATGAACAGGAGGGAAGGATAGACAGATGTTTGGCTCCAGTGCAAGAAGGAGGGTCTGAAGAGCAGGAGGGACAGGAGCTGAGTGGCTCACCTGGTTGCAGACAGGCTTATACTTGAGTCCCGGCTTGTTCAGGATCTTCTCCAGCTGCTTGTGGTTGAAGTTGGACACCCCAATGGACTTGGTCAACCCTGCATCCTTACACTTCTCCAGGGCCTGGGGAAGAAGGGGTGATGGGCAGTCACTTGGAACGGGCAATAGAACAAAAATACATGCTTAAAAAATCAATAAACATGGTCACATTCAAGAATTAACATTGAGCATCAAAAGGAAAAAACAGAAGAAAGTCAACATGTAAATTGAAGAATTACCATTTCCTCTATAAAAAAACTGAAGAAGACATATCACATGGAAAGAAAAACGCATTGTCTTCATTGTCCAAAATTCTCCATTTCATTCCTCTATGTAAACATTTCAGCAATGGTTTCTTCCCCACAACCCCAACATCCCAGCCCTTAGATTCATGAACTGCTGAGTTGGATGATCCACAGCCCATTCTCACAGGTAGAAGAAATGAAGGAGGTTCCCCCTCTTCTGGCTCCTCCACTGGTTCTCTCCTCCCTGGACTCACCTCCCATGTGTGACAGAGATCCACCGAGTCAACCATCAGTTTTCCATTTTCATCTTTTGGAAACAATTCCTCCCCTGGCTGGAACAGAAGCAGGAATATTAAGGATGTGACCAAATAATTTCTCCACGATTAGCCAGGCTGCAAGGCACCAGGAATTAAATCTCCACGAGGCAGGTTTACAACTTTCTACATACTAATATTTGCAAGGTGATTTGTGTATGGAGTTGTAAGAAATTTCTATAGGAGGGAGGCTTATTTTATTGTCTTACACTTATTATGTGTTACAAAAAATACAATTTTTCTATGTCCTAAAATGGACTTCCAGTGACTTCTGTGAATTTTGTCTGTTTCCTGTACTTGCCTCTCTTGAAATGTCTCTGGTCTGAGAATGGCAGTGAGTTCCATGCCATAATTTCCAGAATAAAATTTGCAAGCTACATCTGGGCTAGATATCAGATTTCCTTTTCCCTTCGAGCATCAGATGCCCTAGAGCAGGCATGTGAACCAGCAAGGCTCTCGTTAGGTTTATATAGAATGTGGAAGATCCAGACACGCTCTAAAATATTCATGACCCAGAGCCTTGAAATGCCCCCAAAATTATATTTGCCACCAATGGAAAATGTTCAATAAAAGTATAGTAATGCCATGGTAAGGGATAGAAAAAGAAGACATTTCTGAAGAGTCCTGCAAATCCTCAAATTTCTCTGTGTCTGAGACTTGCAGTCTACATAGTCCACTTAGCTATTTTGCATTATATGGCTTGAGTTGATTTCTGTAACTTGAAATCAAAATTTCTAGGTAAACCATTCTTTCTTTTTAATTTCTTTTTTAATTGAAGCATCATTGCTTTACAGAATTTTGTTGCTTTCTGTCAAACCTCAACATGAATCAGCCATAGGTAAACATATATCTCCTCCCTTTTCAACCTCCTTCCCATCTCCCTCCAAATCCCACCCCTCTAGGTTGATACAGTGCCCCTATTTGAGTTCTAAGTAAACATTCTTAATGACTAAGTGCGGTCTACAAATCTCATTGTAAAGTCAGGCAGGACTGTAGACAATGTCTCCCAATTCCCTATAAAGGTACAAGGTTTAGACTCACCCAAGAGAGAGCACCACCAAATCTGCTCAACTTAAAAGGATGAAAGACAAGATAAACTCATCATGTTCAATGTAAGGCAGTGCCACGTTCACCACAGCTGCAGCAAACTCTTGGTTCATGAAATCCCCAGACACTCAGGAGTCATAACCAGGACTGTGTGCAGAACTCACCTATTTCTACTTCCTCAAGTTTTTCAGGCAGAGACTCTCAGATTATTAACTCCTTTGTCTGGGAGGCATGCAACAGATTCAAAGAAACTCGGTAAATAGATTACCACAAATGATTATTTGGGGGATTCTACTCTAGTGAAGAGTTGACTCATTGGAAAAGACCCTGATGCTGGGGGAGGGGGGGTTGGGGTCAGGAGGAGAAGGGGACCACAGAGGATGAGATGGTTGGATGGCATCACCAACTTGATGGGCATGAACTTGAGTAGCCTCCGGGAGTTGGTGATGGACAGGGAGGCCTGGCGTGCTGTGATTCATGGAGTCACAAAGAGTTGGACACGACTGAGCGACTGAACTGAACTGAACTCTAGCGTAATCATCCCTTCAATCTACCAAGAAAAATCTTAATTCAACCATCCATGCAAGTTGACACACATTCTAACACAAGATATAATATTGATGTAATCACACATATTTCCAACCTTCATAGCCAGTGGAAAATGAATAATATAGAGATCGACATAGTCCAGTTGAAGATTTTTCAGTGACTTTTCCAAGGCTGGTCTGACCAGCTCTGGCCGAAGAAAGGTGCACCAAAGCTGAAAATATTAAAGAATAGAAATTTTATTAATAATAATTTAGTAACTTTTCTTTTGGTCTTCCCCTGTGGCTTGTGGGATATTACTTCCTTTACCAATGATGGTAATGTGCCAACTCTTAACCACTGAACACCAAGGATTTCTAATACCTTAAGAACATACCAAAAATCATAGTTCACCAATCAACTCTTCACCAAACAAATGATACTATTATATATTAGTCACCTGGGCACACTCACTAGCCCACATATTCACACACACAACACACAATACCTTTGAAGTGTAGAATATGTCTTGTCTCTTCACAGTGCCATCTGCAATCTTGCTTCGAATGGCCTGGCCAACCTGCTCCTCATTTTGATACAAATAAGCACTGTCAACATGGCGGAACCCAACCTCTATAGCGAATTTGGTGACTTCCAGAGCTTCACTCTTAAGAACCTACATGAGCAATAAGGCAGAATTTGAACATCCACATGATTAAGAGATTGCTAGCACAAGATTTGATTTTCCAAAGATTCAACTTTTCTTCATGTCTTTGATTAGATCTGTATGTGTGGTGCTGAACCCTGGACAGTTTCCCTGAACATTCTTGGTCAGATTTTAAATACACACAGTAACCCTCACATCCCTAATGATCTGTGGTCAATCACAGGTATCAGAGAACCCGAAGCACACCTCCAGTTTCAGTGGACCCAAAAGATTCAGCATAAAGTTGTAATCATGAATATGATTTGTACTATAAGATTCTTGCAGTAAAATCAACAAAGGTATAAGGTATATGGTAAAGACATTAAACTACAGGAGATAGTGAGAGACAGGGAGCCTGGCCTGTTGCAATCGATTGGATCACAAAGAGTCAGACATGACTTAGTGACTGAACAACAACAATAACAAAAAGCATCAAGAAGCAAGGTGAAAGCTTCCAAGACCACTGTCTACCAGTGAAGCTATGTAGAATACACCAAATGTAAACTGTATCTATTCAAGGTATACAAAGTGAAGTTCTCATATAAGGATCCATTGTTTATTATCACCAAAAACAAGCCAGTTAGCAGATCCCTCATTTCACTTACCTTACTTTATGGAGTTTGTAAGAAAACTTAAGATCTAGTCTCTACAAAATCTCAGGGTATCAACCATTATTTATAACTATAGTCATGGTTCTGTGCATCAGGTCACCAACTTATTAATCTTATCACTGAAAGTCTAGACTGTTGACAAACATCTTTCCATTTTTCACAGATTTGTCTTCAGCTTCTGGTCTCCATTTCTCGACTCTCTGTTTCTATAAGTTCCACTATTTTAGATTCCACCTATAAAGAGACTTCCTTGGTGGCTCAGATGGTAAAGCATCTGCCCACAATAAGGGAGACCCAGGTTTGATCCCTGGGTCAAGAAGATCTCCTGAAGAAGGAAATGGCAACCCACTCCAGTGTTCTTGCCTGGAAAATCCCATGGACAGAGGAGCCTGGTAGGCTACAATCCATGGGGTAACAAAGAGTCGGACATGACTGAGTGACTTCACTTTCACTTTTCACAAAAACTTCAAGTAGTATTTGTCTTTTTATTTCTGGCTTACTTCACTTAGCTAAAGTTCTCCCGGTTCACCTGTGTGGTTTCAAATGGCAGGATTAACTTTGTTTTAAAGGCTGAATAATATTCCATAATTTTTCATGTGTCAGAATCTTTTCTACTTCAAGGAGATAGATAATTGGTGTAACCACCCTCTGTTGGGTGCAGTCGTGGTCTTTCTTAAACACTTGGGCATTCAGGGATGTACTGAGGAAAGGACCAGTGAGCTTCAGTACTAGCCTGGACACTTTACTCCCCGCACCCTACTTTGCACTACAAAGTCCTGTCTTCTGTTTCCAATATGCCTCTGAATATTTCCTTCTGTTCTCCAAATGATAAAAGTGAGATGCAAAGTTTCAGGATCAGACCTTGTCACAACTACATTCTCTAAAGACAAGATAGACAGCAAACTTTCTGGCTTCAGGTCTAGGGACTTGTCCACTAGTCCCTTTTCTGTCCAAGCACTGAAAACTACACTTTAATAAAAAGACATTACAACACCCAAGAATACACTACACAACCTTGCCTATAATATGGTAGTTTATCCCCTCAAATGACACTATATTTTCCATTAGAAGAAGTTTCCAAGGAGCAACCAAAGTACAGGGCAAAACACAGCTGGAGTTGTCTTGTCTGGCACCTACCAGGCACCCCACGGGAGAAAAGCAGTTCACTCTTTCCTATTCACCTCATCCTTAGGACCTTCCACCTCAAATACTTCTCTGGGTCACATCTTTTTTGAAGGAGGTAAGGGTTCTGGACCTAATGAATTACAAAGAGAACCCCGGCCATTACAATCGCCCTCAAAGCAAAGCAGTTGACAGTCAGTGATCTTGACAGCTGAATCACCTCTTCTGCCAAGCTGGGAAAGAGACAGAAACTGGGGCGGGGGCGGGGGGGGAGCGTAACAGAGTAATCTGCAGGTGAGTGCAGCCTCAGACCCTGATGCAGAGTGAAAACTGGATGCTCTCTCCCCTTTCACAGGGCATGGTTCTACCCTGGTTAGTGGCTAGAGAAGCTAGCCAGGAGCTCAGTGCTTGACAATCCAAGTCCCTTCCACTCATGTTACATCCACTGCTATTTATATCTCAACCCCAAACCACCTCTGTTACCTCTTTAGTTTCAGCGGTGCCAAATCCCAGGACAGGAATGAAGTGGCCATCATTAAGCTTCACTCTCTGGCCTTTGGGATCCATTGTCTCTTTCACCTCTGAATAAGCAGACTGATCTTTTCTTCTGCCCCCAAGGTTATAAATAACAGGAAGTTAACGCCCCACCTGACTGTCCAATGTTAGCAGGTACATTGGAGGAGGAGAGGATTAAACCAGTGCCCATAGAGTAGGAAGAGAATTGAAGCCAGTTACATTGGTAGTTTTTTTTTTTTAATCAGAATAACTTCAGTTATATAATGGTGAAATGTGCCAAACAATTATTGCCCAAATATTACACAGAAACCTCCACATACCAGTCATTTCACTTTTCTAATTATGAAGCCCACTTTTGATCAAACATCAATTGAAACAACTATTTCATAGTACAGAACGGCACACTAATCACACAATTAAAAAGTGTTGATTATTAAGCATTTTCCAAAATCTCTTAATAGAGAATCAAAATGTGAAACAAACCAAATTTGCCTTTTTAAATTTTCCAGCAGCAAAATTATTTTGCTTTAAACACATATGGTGGTAGAGGTATAGTCAGTAAATCATGTCCAACTCTTTTACAACCCCATGGACTGTACCCCTCCAGGCTCCACAGTTCATGGAATTACCGGGCTAGAATATTGGAGTCGGTTGCCATTTCCTACACCACAGTATCTTCCTGATCCAGAGATCCAACTCAAGTCTCTTGTGTGACTTACATTGGCAGGTGAATTCTTACTACTGGGCCACTGGAGAAGCCCTTACAGACTTGACTAGGGTGAAATTCTGAAAAGGATACCAAAACCAGACATGGTTGCAAAGTGTTTATTGGCATTAATCATTAACAATTTTGGATACCACGTACAGGTTCAAACAGACTCTTGAGTGTTTGTACCTTGTACTGAGTTGCATAACATTTTAGAGTACTCTTATTATGTAATCATTAAATATTTTACATATTTTATTATCATGCTAAACATGCTAAAAAGAAAAACCTATAAACAACTGAAATAGCAACAAATTTGGGAAGAGTAAGGGAAATCATGATGCACTGATACAAGCAGATGTTGTGAAGGGAAATTCAATTTAACACATAGAGTGATGTCAGCAAAATAGTGCGTTTGGAGGAATGAAGTCTCCCTTGAAAAGGGAAGTATGGAGAGAAAGCAACTGAAAAATGTCGTAGGAGTTCTAGGAAACAGTCAAAAAAAATCTATAGCAACAAAGTGAACACACAACTAGGGAAGATTCCAAAGACTGGAAGAACATTTCTGTATGTTTTTATTCAGACTCACCTCTCCCCTGACTTGAGTGGAGCCATCTTGATCTGTAAAGTGTGGTGGCTCAGCACCCTGCTGCCTCCCTCAAAGCAGACTCATCGCAGAAATCCTTGTGTGCAATATTCTCCCCTACTTGGAGCTTGCCTGGAAACTGGCATCCATTTCACTTAACTCTGAGTTTGAACTGAAGAGCAGCTGAAGTGGCTCATTACACCTGCAGGGGGACTAGATAAATATGGGGCCAGGGCCAGGGAGTAAGGGTAGAAACACACACAAGACCATGTAAAACCCTGATAGAACAGGGGTGTGGACTTGGGGGATAGTAAGGCATTCAGTCAAATCCCTTTTGACTATACAGTGGAAGTGAGAAATAAGTTTAAGAGACTTGATCTGATAGACAGAGAGTCTGATGAACTATGGACAGAGGTTCGTGATATTGTACAGGAGACAGGGATCAAGACCATTCCCATGGAAAAGAAATGCAAAAAGGCAAAATGGTTGTCTAAGAAGGCCTTACAAATAGCTGTGAAAAGACTAGAAGCAAAAAGCAAAGGAGAAAAAGAAAGATATTCTCATTTGATTGCAGAGTTCAACTCCTTCAACTCAATTGCAGAAAAATAAATGACCCAATCAAAAAATGGGCCAAAGAACTAAACAAACATTTCTCCGAAGAAGACATACAGATGGCTAAAAAACACATGAAAAGATGCTCAACATCACTCATTATCAGAGAAATGCAAATCAAAACCACAATGAGGTACCATTACACACCAGTCAGGATGGCTGCTATCCAAAAGTCTACAAGGAATAAATGCTGGAGAGGGTGTGGAGAAAAGGGAACCCTCTTACACTGTTGGTGGGAATGCAAACTAGTACAGCCGCTATGGAGAACAGTGTGGAGATTTCTTAAAAAACTGGAAATAGAACTGCCATGTGGCCCAGCAATCCCACTCCTGGGCATACACACTGAGGAAACCAGATCTGAAAGAGACACATGCACCCCAATGTTCATTGCAGCACTGTTTATAATAGCCAGGGCATGGAAGCAACCTAGATGCCCATCAGCAGACGAATGGATAAGGAAGCTGTGGTACATATACACAATGGAATATTACTCAGCCATTAAAAAGAATTCATTTGAATCAGTTCTAATGAGATGGATGAAACTGGAGCCATTATACAGAGTGAAGTAAGCAATAAAGTTAAACACCAATACAGTATACTAACTCATATATATGGAAATTAGAAAGATGGCATCAATAATCCTATATGCAAAACAGAAAAAGAGACACAGATCTACAGAACAGAATTTTGGACTCTGTGGGAGAAGGCAAGGGTGGGATGTTCTGAGAGAACAGCATCGAAACTTGTATATTATCAAGGGTGAAACAGATCACCAGCCCAGGTTGGATGCATGAGACAAGTACTCGGGACTGGCGAACTGGGAAGACCCAGAGGGATGGGGTGGGGACGGAGGCCGGAGGGGGGATAGGGATGGGGAACACATGTAAATCCATGACTAATTCATGTCAATGTATGGCAAAAACCACTACAATATTGTAAAGTAATTAGCTTCCAACTAATAAAAATAAGTGGAAAAAATAAACAAACAAACAAAGAACAGCCAGGAGAGACGAGAAAGCCTTCCTCAGTGATCAGTGCAAAGAAATAGGTGAAAACAATAGAATAGGAAAGACTAGAGATCTCTTCAAGATAATTAGAGATACCAAAGGAATATTTCATGCAAAGATGGGCACAGTTAAGGACAGAAATGGTATAAATCTAAGATAAACAGAAGATATTAAGAAGAGGTGGCAAGAATACACAGAAGAACTTTACAAAAAAGATCTTCATGACCCAGATAATCACAATGGTGTGATCACTCACCTAGAGCCAGACATCCTGGAATGTGAGGTCAAGTGGGCCTTAGAAAGCATCACTACAAACAAAGCTAGTGGATGTGATGGAATTCCAGTTAAGTTATTTCACATCCTGAAAGATGATGCTGTGAAAGTGCTGCACTCAATATGCCAGCAAATTTGGAAAATTCAGCAGTGGCCACGGGACTGGAAAAAGTCAGTTTTCATTCCAATCCCAAAGAAACGCAATCCCAAAGAATGCTCAAACTACTGCACAATTGCACTTTTCTTACACACTAGTAAAGTAATGCTCAAAATTCTCCAAGACAGGCTTCAGCAATACGTGAACCATGAACTTCCAGATGTTCAAGCTGGTTTTAGAAAAGGCAGAGGAAGCAGAGATCAAATAGCCAACATCAGCTGAATCATTGAAAAAGCAAGAGAGTTCCAGAAAAACATCTATTTCTGCTTTATTGACCATGTGAAAGCCTTCAACTGTGTGGATCACAATAAACTGTGGAAAATTCTGAAAGATATGGGAATACCACACCACCTGACCTGCCTCTTGAGAAACCTATATTCATGTCAGGAAGTAACACTTAGAACTGGACATGGGCCAGCGTCCTCGCGTCTAGGCTCCAGGAGACAGCTTGGTCGTTTGTCGTCGCTGACCCTGCTACGCGCCTCTGGGTTCCTCTACCTCATCGTCGATGTGGCCCTAATGGTGCGGCAGGCTGTGAATTCCTAGAGCGCTGGAGTGAATTTAAGAAGATTTTGTCCACGTTTATGGCATAGAAGATGAATTCGTCCTCCTCCACCATGAATGAGGAACCTGATGCTCTCTCTGTAGTTAACCAGCTCCGAGACCTAGCCGCAGATCCTTTAAACCGACGAGCCATTGTCCAGGATCAGGGATGTCTGCCTGGCCTTATTTTATTTATGGACCATCCCAACCCCCCTGTCGTCCACTCAGCTTTGCTCGCTCTTCTATACTTGGCAGAGTGCCGTGCCAACAGAGAAAAGATGAAAGGAGAGCTGGGAATGATGTTAAGCTTGCAAAATGTTATACAGAAGTCTACAACTCCAGGGGAAACAAAACTGCTAGCCTCTGAAATCTATGACATTCTTCAATCTTCCAATATGGCAGATGGGGATAGTTTCAGTGAAATGAATTCACGTCGAAGGAAAGCTCAGTTTTTCCTGGGAACTACAAACAAACGTGCCAAAACAGTGGTTTTGCATATAGATGGTCTTGATGATACGTCCCGGAGAAACCTGTGTGAAGAGGCCTTGTTAAAAATTAAAGGTGTTATTAGCTTTACTTTTCAAATGGCCGTTCAGAGATGTGTGGTACGAATCCGTTCAGACCTTAAAGCAGAGGCGTTGGCATCAGCAATAGCATCAACCAAGGTTATGAAGGCTCAGCAGGTTGTGAAGAGCGAGAGTGGAGAAGAGATGCTGGTCCCATTCCAGGACACGCCTGTGGAGGTAGAACAGAACACGGAGCTGCCTGACTACCTGCCCGAGGATGAGAGTCCCACGAAGGAGCAGGACAAGGCGGTGTCCCGGGTGGGCTCCCACCCGGAGGGTGGAGCTAGCTGGCTGAGCACAGCTGCAAACTTTTTATCCAGGTCATTCTACTGGTGACTTCCCTTTGGGGCTCAAGGACTGTATAAGCGAACAAGGGGCCAGTTTTCCATTGTTGTGGTGAACTGTCAAGTGCAATTTGCAATAAGTTATCATGAAAAGTTTCTAGATCCCATGATTGAGAATGCTGCATTTTACATTCTACCGGACATTTTACCCCCCTAAGTGGTAAAAGGGACAGAGGCGACAGGTGGAGTTGCTTTGATGATGAAGGTATTTTGGTTTTGTTGTCCTTTGTTTAATTGCCTCACTTAAAAAAAAAAGG